ATATATATGGTAGTTTATTAATTGTGATTCTTGGTTTAATAAATTCAATTTAATGGATTTTTATTCACCACTATTTCTAAACAATTCGAAGGTTTAAATAATTCAGCACTTTTTAAGCTATGCTGATCCGTTAAAAAAACTAGCGAAGTGAGTTAAATCTTCGCAAATTTAGAATGTTCCTATCAGCCGTTTGTGCAGACGGGCAAGCCATGCAAAATTAGCGTGGCATTCAACATGTTAAACTAGAGTACTACTTTTAACGGGGATACCAACTTCTGGGCTTTCTGGAATACTTTTAAAAAAATGGTAGCAAATTATATAATAAAATTCGTTAGAGATGGACAGTAACGCTTACTTTATGATAGAGTAGCCATTAGATTGAAGCTCGAATGTTGCATTTTATAAGATACTTTTAATTTTTGATATTTAGTGGTGAAAAAATTACTTAAAAGGAAAAATACTAAACTAAAAATAACTTGAATTTCGCTACCACTAGAAAATACTATTTAACAAAATGGAGCAAGTTGACATCGCTGTATTAAGTTTAAGGGTAATACCCTCGCACTTTCTTCTATAAAATAACCCTTTAAATTACTGTGAACTAAGGCATGTTCTTTCGCGAACGGAACTTTTTTGTAGATTTAATATATTCTACATTTTTCATTCAAAATAACGCATAAGAAACTCAGATATTTTTTTAAAAAATTACTTTGAAGCAATAGGCTCTTTTATTATAAATTATTTACAGGAATAATTTCAAATTATTTGTGATCAACTCCTCAAAGACTCCGTTTACTACGTTATTCTTCGTATTTTTTTTTAATCGCATATAATTTTAAAAAAATGGATATTTATTTTAATCTGTATCTTCATATCTTTCAGTTTTTTATTTTTTGTACATTTTGTATATAAACTTTTATGTACAACATTAGTACTCCCTAATAAAACTATCCCAGATTATTTTTTATTTAATTGTGAAATGTTTTTATTGCATAAACAGAATGTGATTGCGGAGAGAATATTTTCTGTGAATTACGAGATGGAAAGCCAATTTGTAGTTGTCCTGATAATTATCAATTAAACAATGGATCCTGCATTGGTAGGTATCACTATATTATTTCGTTTTCAACATTTTGTTTGAAACTTTTTCCTTACAAATTAGCTCGTCACAAAGAATTTATCTCCAAGTTTGATTTTTATATTTCTGGTATCATTTTTAGAAAGCGACAGTGTTTTCCAAAATTTAAAATAAACATTTTTTAATTATTTATAAAAAAAAAATCGCATTTTTGAAATTACTTTATTATTTCTAGTAAACTATATTTTTTATGTTTAATATCGTATAATAAATGTATTTTGAAATGTAGGAATGGTGAAACATTATAGAATGAAATAACTAAATCTTGAAATTTTAAAAACGTTCGTTTTAAAACAATTTTTTTTTTTAACCTGGCTAATTAAGTATCTTTAAAACGAGTAGACAGTTAATTTAAAATTGTTTTTACATAATTTTTTAAATTGTATTATCTTCGGTTGTGGTTCAAGAATTTTGAATTGTAATATTATTTTAAATTGTATCCGTTTTTGCTGTACACTCTTTAGTAAATAAATTTAAAAACTTTTTTTTTCAAACATCTGCCATGTTTTTAAAAACAAGTAACGCTTTTGAACCAAAAGTTAAATAAGTGTAAGGTAGAACAGTAACAACACATTTTATATTGCTGCGAATTTTTTTTTTTTTTCACTGACTCTTTTCTAATTATTTTCAAATCTTGGGGTAACAATGTTGCTAACTTTTGCGTAATGGAATGATGGGAAATGTTTTAATTACCTGAAATGATCTATTTTATTTTATATTTTATAACCGTCGTTGTACAGCCGACCCAATATTGATTTTCCCACTTCCAATGCTCAACTCCGTAGCTTTGTAATTTTGAACCCTATCCAGAAGACAAGGGAACTCCTGTATCAAGTATTGAGAGACATCTACCTCCGTGTAGGACTATTTGAAGGAACTAACCCGCATTTGTGTTATATGGTCAGGGAAACCACGAAAACCTCCTAAGGTTAGCCTGACGGCAAGGGGACTTTAACCCGTGTCAGTCAACCACTGAGAGAATTTTACGTCAGCACCGTAATCGGTACGAGCTGAATTCGGAATTCGTATCGATCAGACCTCGCTGGGATTCGAACCCAGGTCACCTCATCGGGAGGCGAGTGCTCTATCTCCTAAGACATCACGGTTTTCAAGTGATCTATAAAAGTGATTCCAATCTAAGTGACCACCTTTAGATGAGAGATATAAGTCACCGCTGTGCTAACCGGTTGTAGAGACTTTTTGTACTCGCCGTCTTACGAACACTTTAAAAAACCTCCTCACTTTCGCATCATGTAATCAGAAACAGTTTCCTTTTCTATTTCAAGAACAGGAAATTTTTTAATCAGATTAAATCAACAATGAAATTGACAATAATATATGATAGTTGAATCTTCAAAATATACATCTTAGATATTACATTGCAAAATCCGCAGCTTTATCTCCGTTTGCCGGAAAGGGATTTCAAGATGAGTCTTTATTTATGAATTTAAAATTTATTATGTTAAAGTAAGCTTTTCTAAATTCTACTTTTTTTTTAAATATTTCAAAAAAGACAATTTTTTAGGATTAATTGAATGACTTCGACAACGATTTTACAACAGTAGTAAGATTTCAGACTATTGTAAAGTACAAACTACTGAATTACAATTTATAATTGAAGAATTGTAAAAAACAACTGAAAACCAACAAGTTAACAACCTACACAAAAATTACAGACAAAAAAAAAAAAAAANAAAAAAAAAAAAAAAAAAAAAAAAAAAAAAAAAAAAAATCCAGCACTTTTGATTATGGTTTTGGCTCTCTGCTTAAAAATGTAGAGGAATATTTTGTGAACAAGTCGTTCATAACAGCTCTACGATACTGATGCTAGCGATATCACTGACATGTAGTTCTATACTAACTTAAAGGTTCATTGAAATCGGACTTAAATTGGACTTAATTGGTTATTTAGCAAGCACATACATATGCGGACTTGTATGTCAGCCTCAAAGTAAAGTTTATAAGCCTTCATCGAGTAACAGATACTCAAATTTTATGAGAAACATCACAATGATGCATTCAAAGTTTCAGCGGGACAAGAACCTACACGTTACGGAGTGATTAATGTAATAACGAGACATTTCGTCTATGGTTAAGCAGAAACATAAGTTAAATAACTTTTTCTTTTCTTAAGTGAGAAGTAAAGAGTGATAGAACGGCCAACTTATCAACTTTTCATTTCGGGACGTAACTAGCGTAGTTAACCGAACTTAAAGCTGAAACGTAAGTTTTTTTTCTCTCCATATCTGCTCCCAAAACAAGTTCTGAAGCGTGCGAGGACGTTTTACTCATTCCTCGGACAAACACAAAGCAGACTTATGAGGAAAGTATTTACATTGAAAACGAAACAGTTGAGCAGCTCCATCGCTTTCTAGTTGTGTATTAAGAAAGAACTCTTCAGTAAATTTTCAGACATTCATCTTAGCTGTGAATCGTAGACACCCAGCTTCATAGACTGTAAGGCTTACAGTGTAAACGATCAGACTCTTGATGAAAATGAGGGTTCTCGTGTTATGATGACACTCCCTAATACTGTTATTGTCGGCTCTTAAAATTGGTTAAAAATTTTATTACTTATGTTCTTATTTTTGCAGAATGTAATTGTGGAAAGCATGGTAAATGCGTGTATGATGACGCTGGCAAANAGGGGTCTCGTGTTATGATGACACTCCCTAATATAATACTGTTATTGTCGGCTCTTAAAATTGGTTAAAAATTTTATTACTTATGTTCTTATTTTTGCAGAATGTAATTGTGGAAAGCATGGTAAATGCGTGTATGATGACTCTGGCAAAAAACTGACATGTGAATGTAATACTGGTTATTCAGAGAATTCGATGGGCATATGTCAATGTAAGTGCAATGCTTAATATATATATATATATATATATATCGTACATGTTACAAATGTTTCACTTCGTCTAACGTATTGTTTCCATGACATTTATAGATTGTTACTGCGGAGATAACTCAATGTGTGCTTTGAATGTTGATGGTACAAAAAATTGTTCATGTCCTTCGGGATACAGAGATGTAAATGGATTTTGCACAGGTAATAAATACTGTTGCCCCCCTTTTGTTCACAATAATATTGAAAATTTAGATTATAACTATTCTAATCTAAGAGAGCAGTATATATTTATATATATGCGAATATGTATATAACATATAATGTTACATTATTAATATGTATATAATGTTTAACATGTAACATGTAATATTTTAATAATTTACCATCATCAATGCATATTGATGCATATCGTTACGATATCTTTTGCTTATTCAGAGAAAGCACGTTTTTGTGCCTGATTTCGTAACTTAAACTATCGTTTGCCCTAATTAGTTAGAATATTTGAGGTCACTCACTCGAACCAATAAGATTGAGTGCTAGGACGTGAAGATGCGATCATTAGATCAAAAGTTAGTCAGGGTGGTCTGTTTTGTTTTTGTAACTTTCAATACATTTTTCTTTTGATAAATCTGACATTTAATATTAAAGGTATGTTGGATAATAATTTTGTGAGTTTAATCTTGCGTGTTGACCTTTATTCTACCACTAGTTAGGCCAGCTTCGCAACAACGTAAAATTTTTTTAAGTAATTCATTTTCGCAGTAATTCACAGTCAATCAGATAAGCATCTCAGAAAATAAAATATGGCCTACATTTATTGTTGAGTAAATTAGAAATATATCCTAAGTAAAGTTTGTAACAGTATCAAAATTTTAGGTTTACTTGACATTAGACAAAGGTTATAATTAATTGAAAGTAAAAATACGATAATTTTTGTCTTATCTTAGTTTAAAATAATATGGCTTTTAATGGAGAAATATTCTCACAGCTACGAACCACTCTGGCACTCTTTTCAATAGATGGACTGGTAAGCCAATTACCAAAACTTATTGTTCACCAAAACTTATTAGCGGTATATAAGTAGTCATAGTTTCATCTGAAATTATGCATTGCAATATTTTTTAAGACTCAATCAGTTAGAAATTAAATTATCAGCTAAAGCGCCAATTCTCTACTATTTTCTAGAAGAGTAACAGCAAACTTCTTACGTAATTACTTACAGTTAAGCAAACCCTATGTCAGCAAAGAATGGAGTGAGGCAAATTGAAACATTATTTGCAAAATGTAATTAAAAATCGAGCCCTTTTTCTTTCTAAAACGCTGTGATAAGTACCTATCTCTGGCTTTTTAATTCGTTGTGCATTGTCTAAGGTGGTAGACTTACAAGAAATTAATAACTTACTCAACCCTAAGCGATAATTTTTTACCAATTTTTATATTAAGGTACTTTTTTGCATTATGGTAAAACGATGAGTTTTCGCGAGTTGTTAACTGGAAGTGGGTTAATGGTTTCATAATTTAGTTACACAGTTGTTTTTTTTTTCTTTTCTTTTTTTGAATTGCAGAGATCAATGAATGTGAAGAAGGGATCGCAACGTGCCTTTCTTCAGAAGTATGTAAAAACATATACCTGGTGGTGCCTTTTGCGCCTGTGCTGATGGATACAGACACACAGACAATGGATGTGAAGGTAAGTTCAAAATGTGTGTATTTGCATTTCCATGAAAATCTTACCAGTTAATATCTTTCTCGAAATTCCTAACTTATGTATAACGCAAGTAATAGGCTTAGGATTGGTCCGAGTCGTTTTAAACCCTATGATTCGAAAGCCAACAGGTGTAAGGCATTTCATAAAAAAAAAAATAATAATAAATAAGAAAACACACACACAAATATTTTTTTAAAAATAATTTCTCTTCCAATATTTTTTTAATTTTGCAAAAAAATATCAAAATAAAATTTATGGTTGCAGCCATATTCCTTTTGTATCATTTTAGGAAACACTTTCAAATTATAGTAGTTATCAGGTTTTAATAGCTTTGATGTTATTTTCTAAGAAAAATGAGCTAGTAATTATTAATTAGTCAATCTTAACTACCACATGTACTTACATTTTAAATTATTAATTAATTATTCATTAAATTATTAATTTTAATTATTATTAGAACATTCTTTGTGTTAACCTATCAGTAGTGAACGGGAAAAAAGAAAGTTATATAAAGTTACAAATCTTAATTTCTTTAAATGAAAACTTTGAATTTTATTAGTCACAGCATTTTGCATTTTTAAAAGCCTGTGGCAACCTTATAACTGTTTCATTTTCTTAGACATAGATGAGTGTGCTTTCCAAAAGCCTTGCAGAAACAAAGGGACTCAA